CATTGAATTCCCACCAATATCTTCAAAAAACATCAAGATACCTCCACCAGCCAAACAACCATCAGCGAAAAAACCACACAACACTCTTTTCAATAACAATTCTCATCACATCAGAAAAATGGAACCAAAATAAAAGAAAACCCTATACAAACACACACAGCAAATCACAAAAACTACTGAAAAAAATGAAACCAGCCTAATAAACTCCAAACAGTGCCACTGACCCTGAACGTCACTAAAAAGATAAACAAAATTCTACCTCTACACTAACTCAAAGAATAACCAATACTCTGTAAAAATAACTTTAAAACCCGAGCTAATTAACAAAATAGAAAAAAATTTCAACCACTAAAAACTAAGAAAATAACTAGCCAAATAATAAATAATAAAAAAAAAAACTTAAAAAAGCCACCATATAAATACCCATGTTCCCAAAAAACCACCGGATAAGCAACAATCAAATACATGCAAGGAAAACAAAAAAATTAAAAGAAGAAAAAAAACAACAACAAAAAAGTCTCCAAAACCAAATAAACTTAAATTTACAAGAAAAAAATTATTCCCAACTGAATAAACCCATAGTGCCTCAATCTATCAAAATAAAAATACCACCTAGAAACAAACACAAAGCCTAAAGACATAAACAATGTCTCCCAAATGATCCATAACAATAAAACATGCACTACAATCAAACAAACCAAATTAATAAAAGCTCTTATCTTCATCAGAGAACAGTGCAGGGCCTCTCAGAGTCCCATTCAGGGTGTGGTGGTATTCTCTGTCGCTTATGTAATGTAGTTTTAAAAGTCATTCATGGAAACATTTAAGTAATAAACTATAATATTTCACTCTCTGACACCAGTGTAGCAAAGCCCAGCTGTCCATGCTCTCTTCCAAGGTAAAATCTTTAAGGAAGCAAATTCTGTAATTTCAAGGACACCTGTGGAGCTAAACTCACACCAGAATGAAAATAAAAAGCAGCAAAAGCCAATTTACCTTGTTCAATGCTGCCTAAAGCACTATGCATACATTCAATAACCAGCTGGCTGAAGCATCCTTTGAATTGATTAAAAAACTGGAGCAAAAGGAGGATGAGGAATGACATGATGTCACACATGAAATACTTCTTCTTTCCAACTAAGACAACACAAATACAAGGGTGAATGTGGCCAGCAAATACTGCCCATCATATGCACTTCACTGCTTCGTAGTCTATTCATCCTATCTGCTTAAAGGGTTAATTAAAATTCTCCTCAACCCAGAAATTTTTTTGTAAGAAACTCCAGAAACTAGGTGAAAATTGTTCCTTCATGTCAATCAGTGGATTTTCTCTTATTTATTCTTGGTTTTGGTCTGCATTCCACAGCAACAGATAACTGTTGTTATGATATTTCTAGAGTCCCGTACCCTCTGGGCAATATTTCCTGGGGACAGTTCTTCACAGCACAGACTTCTGCATGTTGTTCCTCCTTCATCAGGCCTCCTTCCCAACCCTCACTGCCTGGCCAAGCCCACCCCCCTTTTATCCCAGTTATCTCCACTAGCCACAGCTGCAGCCCATCAAGGCCAATGTACAGATGTTCAAATACAATACTGATATTTTACTGGGACTCCTACGATAGATAATCAATGTTTACATTTTGTTCCTGAGGCCTCTCAGCTTCTCAGGAGGAAAAATCCTAAGGAAAGGATTTTTCATAAAAGATGTCTGCAACGCTCTGCACTCAATGAAGACAGCCTCAAGCTTTGTCTCAGAGATACCTGGCAGCTGGACAGTAACTGGAAAACAGGTCCATGACCTGAAAACATCAGGCATATGAGTTTGTGCGGTTTTTCCCATTCACAAATAGGACATGAAATAAATGACATGCACAAGCTGAAACGTCCAAGATAAAAAGAAGGAAGTTTATTTCCAAATTCCAATATTTATAGACTTTCAAAAGCACCCGTGGATTGGAGGATGAAATTGACACCTCTCCAGCCACACTGGTCAAACCAAGTCCATCAGATTTCTCCTCCTCCATAAAGGAGAAGGCAAAACGATCATTATTTACATGAAAAGAGTGTGAGAAACTCCATTACAAACATATAAACATCAGAAGGCTTAGAAGAACTTAGAAGAACAGGGCGACACAAAAAGCCCAGGGCTGTGTTTATTTTTCTGTCAAATTCCACTGTTTCTAACTGAGGGAATAAATACATGCAGAGTATTTGTAAGCAATGCCAGCTCTGCCCTTTGCTGGACACCTCACCTGGAGATGCAGAGGCACTTCATTTATCCTGCTTGTCTCAGGATTAATTTTATCCTTAATTTTATTTATTTTATTATTTTATTTTTAAAAAATTATTAATTTTTAATCTCAGGGTTAATTTTTGCAGCAGCCAGGAAGGGCACGGCCCTGCAATAATTTGATGCCCCCTCATGCCACGGACACAGGGTGGTGTTGGTGGTGTTCCTTTGGTGGTGCATGGTCCCATCACCCTGGATTCCACGAGGTGAGCAGTCACACATTAATTGTGCACCGATCTGCACACTCTGCTATTGGTACTGTTGTTACAGTTTTTCCTATTTCTTTGCCTTTTCTAGTAAATTGTTCTAGTCTCAGATTTTTGTGCCTGCAGTTCTCCTCTCTCTCCTGCTGCACAGGGAACGGGAAGGAAGTCAGCAGTTTGTGGTCTGAGGTGCTACAGCAGGAACACCAAATTGTGTGGTGAGCAATCACATGTAAATAGTTTGCCTATCTTTTAACTCTCTTATCAGTGTCTTG